AATGCATATCTGGCCTTTACAACAACGCGCGGTGGTCTTCCGATGTATCGAGCCAGTGCTGCTATCCTCCCAGACAAATCTGGTACAAATTTGCCGGCCCCGAAGGTATGGAAGGCTTGGTGGGCCATGGGCGCGGGGATCGATTCCGTGTGTGTGTTGCAGGGACCCTCCGACAACTGCGCCACAGACCTCTTGCTAAACTAGGAATAAAAAAAACTGAAAAAGTTGGTGGTGCGAATTTTTTTTTTTTGAAAACAACTATAGAACAGCAAAGAATTCTGGAATATGAGGAAGAAGTTACTCTCCGGAAAGGACAATAGCGCGCTCGTTCCCCACCCCAGACACCTACGCTCCGGAGTTTTGCAAATATCTCAGCATTAAAGAAGTTATATTTCGCAACATACCCTGCCATTAAAAAGAATAGGCAGTAAATGAAAAGTTTAAAATCCGGGAATCTTTCCAGAAAAAAAGCTTTTTGGTTGCACAAAAGCGTGAAGAAAAGCGACAAATTGTCCATTGAAAGTTTACATACGAGAAACGTCCACTGATAGCTCTGTACCTGATAGCTCCCTTCTTTAATGATCGATATCGATCGAAGATATCTCAGGTGAACCTTTTAAGAATGAGAAAAAACTCGGCATACATCGACAATGACGTTCGAGTCGCATGTTCTGCTCACAATACCGTGTCGCAATCCACTGACGGCGGTTGAATTCCCTTCGAGTTCGAACTAGAATACGGATTGAACTCATTTATTCCGTACGGTTACCTTTTATCGCCATCGTTTTTTTAAAATGATTTTTCGAAGTTGTTATCGACACTTACCAAATCAATAGTGGGTATACTGTCAATAAGCCCAACTAATCGATAAACACGCTCATCACTGAAACCATACTGAACCTAAAACACCGCTGAGATGATGTCTAGTAAAAGTTGAGAAAAGAGGAAAAATTTACGCATTTTATTGAAAAGCGATTATTTAATGAGGTTTTTAAAGAACCAGGTGTAAAGACTCATAGATTTAATGGGTAAAGTGTTCAGTGTTGATCAATTCCTTGGGAGTGCACCATGTATTTCACTTCCTTTTTAGCATCACCGAACTGAGGGAATGGATATTTAACCTATGACTTGCGATGTCCTTCATGTGTACCATGTCCCTACTTCTTCTAACAATTGGGAAGGTATTGGTGGCTGCCATGGTAGCTAGACGCCCAATGACGACCTTATGCCTCCCGTGAGCTGCAGATGAATCCAAAGGATGGACTACCTTTCTCTAATGAGTCGGAGTAGCCTTATATTTATGCATACATGTCGGATATGGCTTGGCACGCATATGGATGGATGCATATCCGATGGAGCGTATCGCGAAGTGGTTATGATTGTCCTGGATTCCACACATAGACTGTTTCGGCAACGTTCAGGTCAACTAAGCCCTCATTTCTACGGAATCAGCAGCAAAATGATACGTCTTTCTTAAAGCATACACCGGCATGCCCCTGCAGCTCATTGCTCATTGTAAGTGCCAAGGTATTCATTCAGCTGTTCAAGGCTACAAATACAGTCGAACACATGACCCATCTCTTGATCAACCTTGAATGTTCTATATCCGGATCGATCAAAATCCATGTAGATTGCCTTCTGCTCGCTGATTCGACCCGAAACCTGTAATCACGCTACTCGGAAGTACATGCTATGTGGTTGTTTGTTACCGCTAGCTGCAGTCAATGAGCCCTATATCTACTTCGGGAAAATTCGAAAGACCGCCGGTGATTATATCGTACCTCTATGACAACATTAAGGCCGAAAACCTGCAGATAACGTCTGTCAAGAACAATAAATTTTTTTTTCTCACGTAATGTCCTGCTGTAAAAAAAGAGTAGGTAGTAAATTAAAGTTAAACACTGTGATTTCGAATGTATTTTCAGCTTTATTGTGTTCAATATCTATTTGTGCTCCCCAGATCATTCATGTTGACGGCTGATTGATGATGACACCGTTAGGGTAAAAAAAAATTGACTAAGGCAAAGGCAAAGCAAGCGGTGCGGTGGATAATACGTAAGCCCGATAAGGGTAATCGCGAGTTCGAAGCCCAACTGAGATTCCGATCTTAGGTCACTTCTCAGCATTCTTGTGGTTAAATTTTCCTCATGCGACAGTGTCCTACCCTTTATTTCTCTTCTGTATACTGAGTTCACTGAGCAGCTCGAATCCCGAGTCACCCCATGACCAATAGGGTGGTGGATGATATAAAGATTCTTATCAGTGCTCTTCCATCAAATATTTATTTTAACTCTTTTTATTTAAAATCCATTAATAAGAAAATATGCAAAATTGAAAAATATGAAGGAAGCTGTTTCACCCTAAGTCCAGATCCAGCTCGATGGCGAACATGCGAGGCATCATAGCATGCGCTACGTCTTACTGAATGCACTTCAGTAACCTGAAATTGCATAAAAGCAATTCTGAGTGTACAGCAAAGCCTCCCATTTTTTTATAATAAGCTGGAGTGCAATTGTTTAGAAACCTCACAATATATGGTACAGGTGATGATGATGAACCCGCTCTCAAAGATACTCCTCCTCATTGTAGCCAGCTGTTGTTCTTAGCATACAGAGCAGCGTCCTTTATTTCTAGTCGTAGACATGGATCGGAGCTACGCATACCTTCCCTTGTTTGTATGATACGAAGAGCCTAATAACATCAACCTTTCGACGCGCCCAAGATCGTTTAGTGATCTTTCACCTTGCTAGTTTTTGACGCATACGTTAAGGTATGAAGAATCGTGGAGTCGAAAAGGTGGGCACGGAGTCGGGTATCCTTCGTTTTTTCAATACATCCTCTATGGTCTTGAAAGCTCCTTAAGCCTCTCGTTTCCTTCTGAACAACTCTAGAATTAAGTCGTTTACTAGGTTGATTTCCTTAAGTAGGTAGACATAACTGGAATATTCGAAGATATTCCTTCCATTGAGCATGAATGGGACATAGGAAACTAGTGTGTTCCTCATAAACACCGCTTCTGTAAAATATAATTGAAGACCAATATTTCCACAGGCGTTAACAACGTCGGCAAGGGTTCGTTTAGGCTGGATAGTAATCGTGAATTCTTTTCCCTATATTCTTTCTGGAAGTCCTGTTTCGTCTGAGCGTTGGAGTGCAATCACCTTGGTTGTGTAGTTGGCGAGGCTTCGTTGGGCCCTGCCAATGCTTTTCCTAGCCTCTGAAGGTTCCGCCGTAACTGCTGCTGTTTTCTCCATAAGATCTTTTATTGCCTCTGTGCATTGTTTTGCAAGTCCGGACGTAAGTTGGCGGTATCCCGTAGCTCGTGAGATTCTATGATCCCGAATCCGCTCAAGAGTTTCTGGTGACAGACGTCTCTTGGTGACTTTCGAACTCTGAGTTTTCACAGTGCTAATAATACGAAGATGTTGAATGGGCCCATCACGTTGCCGGTAGATGTAATCAAAAACGGCACCTTCTCAACAGCCGACTAATGAACTGAACAAATCCTAGTTCATGGTGAGATTTCGTCTTTTGAACTTAGCGCCTTTCTTTCCTTTCCTCGAGAAGTGGAATTTTCCGCAAAAGGAACGGTGGTATGATCCCGCGCAAAATTTCAAGACAACATCGACAACGTTTGAGAAAAACCTTCGATTTATTGTGATGTGCTCGTTGTGGTACTCTCCACTGGAAAACTCCCACGTTCACCGTTGACAATGGTGCTTCTGGAATTGCGAGTTAGCATGGATGGTCTTAGTCGTCATGACAAATTCAGAGAGCCTCTTGGACTGCTCGTTCTATTCTAATCTGTGGATTCCAATATGACGTTCGTCAGAGTTTCTTCTACGTCGAATTGTAGCGTTAAAGTCTCTACTGATGATGCTAAACAATGTACGGTCTTCTTTGGAGAATTCTTCCAAGTCCACACAGAACGCCTCACCGTCCTTAGTCATATCTTGATATCGGTGCATAGACGACAAACACAGTTAATGTCGTTATCTGTCCACATCTCTTAAGCTATGAAGTTCCAGTTTGGGTTGTTAGTTATTTGAATGAATCGATGCTCATGGGAAAAGTCGCATTGACGGGAACGGCGAAGCCGCTGAGTCCTCTACTGTCACGCGTTTCGAGGAACATCTCTTGTCTGGAGTCATAGACAGCGTTGAACGGGTGGCGTTGTCTCCTCTCGGACAGCCTGATGACGTCATACTTTATGCTTCTTACCTGCATGATCAAGTATCGAGGACTCAGATGCAAATATGCGTGCAATTTAGGTACAGTTCGTCGCTCCAGTTCTGTGCTATTCAGGTAGCCTAGAATGACCCTGAGAGCCGCTTAGCAGCCGCTCCGTACTCGTACTCCGCACCCAATACTAGCGTATCGGGGGTCATTTCAGGGTTAGGGGAATGATGCCCGTTTATTTTACTGTATTTATGCATTTGATACCCACGTGTTATTTGATGAGCCCTGGAACTGGGGCTGGGTGTGCTCACGGGTAGCTTGCCAGTCTCTCCAGAGTAGACGATAAACTTAATTTTTGGAGGCGACTCCTAGCTGCCTCTAACATACCGCCTCGTCACTTGATTGCAGGCATGAGGCCAAATTGACTTGTAGAATACAATCCGCATAAAAGAGGAACACCCACGCAGGAATGCATACATACTTCCACGTAAATACGAAAGGTATGTGCCAAAATGGGGCAGCAGAAACAGGGAGTCTTCCAGTTGGATCCTTCTGCATCTTGAGAACCCAAACGCCACTTTTGATCCATGTTTCCTATCCCCCACCTAGGGACGTGCCACGTTGCCTCGCGACTTAGCATGAGATCCTTCCAGGAGGGTAATCCGTACGGTAAAAATCTTGTCCAACCAGAGTATAACCAGACCAAAGTAGATTTTCCCCGAGCTCCAAGAATCTTCGTAATTTGCTGTGAAGACGTTAATGAGTTTCGTGGGATATGAGTTGATGATCGTACCGGAATAATCAGTTTCGGATGATAAACAATAATTCCATTGCTGTCGACAATTATACCGTACAACTGTTCTTCTTTCGGCAGTTTTTCTGTGAGTTCGGAGAGTCCAATGTCAATACCTAAAAGAGGTTAATTAAAACCTTTCTTCACCTGGAGAAAAAACGATGTAAGGCGGCATGATTGTGAACCGACTTTCATTTAGCCTCGGCATGAATGGTCAATGTGCCTTGTTTCCACGGCAAGCTAACACGAGTTTGTTACCAATTATTTATTCGGTTAACATTTCGAAGTTTTGCCTCAGAGCCGATGTTACCAGTTGATGTTCACAGTCCTTCATACTCGTACATTGATCGTTCATAGCGAGGTTAAATTAAAGTCGGGTTACAACGATATTATTTCGCTACGTGCAAGCTTATCTAATACCGATTTCTGTGAAACGGATTTTCAAGAAAAACAGGTTATTATCACTGGATAATCATATCGATAACAACCGTGCTGTATAAAAGAGCATCACCGGGTGAGGTCGCCTCATTCGAGCGGCGTCCTACTGAAGAGGATCCGGCTCGATACGACGACGAAGGCACCACATCGGGAAGACGAACGACTGTGGACATCGACACGGATCATCGGCTTTGAGGAAGACGAACACGTCAAAACGATAGCCGAATAAATATTTGGCTTCAAGTCCGTGTTAGCTTATCAGTGAAACAAGATGCAATGGGAATTTCCAAAACTTGTCAAACTATTAGTAAAACAACCACAATGATGCTGAGATATTTGCAAAACTCCGGACCGCAGATGTCTGCGGTGGGGATCGAACACCTTACTACCCTTTTCGTGGGCCAATGCGTTCACCGCCACACCATGCGGGTCTTCCGTTTCGCTTTTTTCTCATGTAGTTTTCTGTCTACCAGTTCCATCAGCAATCATCTTTCAACGGGATTGATCTGGAGAACTCAAATCGGCCTTGAACCCAGTTGAGGTTGTAGTCGAAATCACAGTTTTGACTTTTATTTACTGCCTGGTACAATTTTTCAAGCCGAGTATTATGTGAAATGCAACCACAGTAGTGCTGAGATATTTGTAAAATAGCTATGTGCTGCTTCGAAATTGCTACTAAGTTGAAACCAACCAGCGATGCCTGCAATTCGTTGACCCAACCAGATACCGTCAGGTTTTGACACTATTGGTAACGAGATTGTTACCGTTGGACCGATTCCTTGTGTTTCCATGTAGAGCGTAGTCCTTGAAAAACGCTCGCTTTTGAAAAAATGACTGGGATAATAAACGAAGCGTCCACTAATTCAATCTTCTGAATGTACTAGAAAATCGATTCAAACCATACCAATGGTCTGTGGCCTATACTTCGATAGGGTTGTGGGAGTGTTTTATAAACATATCGGCGGAATTTCTTCTTCCTCTAACCCAATATTACCAGTAAATGATAGCACAATGTTACATCAGGCCTCTAGCAAGCAAAAAATTCGATACGCCTACTTATCACTAACCAACTGATTCTTCGCGCTTCAATAGGTGTGTTTTCCAGAGATCGACCAAGAGCGACACTTAGATGGTCGAGAAATGATCGCGATTGTGGTTTTACATCCATAATTGAATCAATGACTAAAACTTAATGGCTCGAAGGCTATTAAAGAAAAACAACAAAGGGAAAAATTACACCTGAATACTTCGCGAAAGTATTACACGCCATCCAATGTAGTAACGGTAGTTGCCCGGTACCGTATCCCATTGAGAAACCAAACATGCGAATCTGGAGTGAAATACCCCACGAACAATGTTTTTAATCTTGTTCGAATCTAGAAGTTTTATCAAACAATTTAATACAATATTGCTAGAAATAATGGGAATGAAATTACCAACGGATATGCGGCAACGCCCAATATTTTATCAGGAAGACATTATGAATTGCAGTCAACTCACACTGACCCTGACTTTCCCTCAAAAAAAAAAGACGTAACCACTTTCGTTGGACTTTAAGCTTCATAGCTCAGTTCTCACTTGTCTCTTTAAATTTTTATGTAAATGTATTTTTTATTAATAAGTTGTAGTTTTTATGTTCTGTTGATTTTCTACGCATAAAAGATGCGTAACTTTCGGGACAATACTTCTTACCACATCGCCGTCACGATTTCGTAGCTCCTCGTCCATCACTGCATGAGGCCATTCGTCTAAACCGTCTGTGAATATCATCAATATTTTGTGGCCACCTGACCGATAGTTGGCAAACACAGAATCGGAAGAGTTCAAGTTCTGTAATCGCAGGAGATACACAGGAACCTGATAGAAAATTGAGTTCTTAAAACTGGAGGAACCAAAGATTCCGTAATGGCGCACAAAGGAAAAAATTCTTGTCTCAAAGCCGAGTAACTCACTCCTCTCAATGCATCCAAGGAAAACTTCAACGGTGGTGACACATGGGCTTGATCTTTTTCTTCAATTTCACCAAGGCGTTCGAAAAAGATCTGGAAAGTATCGTTTAGAAAAATTATGTTTAACTTAAGTAATCTGCTTCAATATATCTCTTAAGAAATGGTGGAATCAACAAGGCTTTTCGGAAAACAGACTGTATTCCATTTTTTTTTCTTAGAATGAACTAAATTCTTACATGGATTAGATTGATCATGGGCGTATAATTTTAAGAAAACATTTTGGACATTGTCAGCGCAGTTCTTGGGCCGTGAGCCTGCTTCCTTCACAACCATTCACTGATAATCAATGAATGAAAAAGTTGCGTAGAACCCGAACCACCTCAGTGATTCCCAAAAGATTTCGGCTATTGTTTCCTAAGAAGGAAAAAAATTTGGTAACGATGAAGAATTCCATCTTCATTAGCCTTCTATTCTTAAATTCATATGGCCTTTCCATCACATAGCTATTTATGCATAATTTCTATGCAGAACACGACAACTCGTCCGCTTGTGTTCTGGTCTCTTCCAGCTATACAAAACGGGAAAAAATGGGAAGTGTGGAACAACGTAAAACTCAATAACGATAATTTAACAACATGAAAACGAATTTGTCTACGAAAGTATTCAAAGTGGTAACTTAGAGTACAGTGAAGCTCACATCAAAGTTTACATTAAAGAAATGAAAAGAAAAAAAAATTTTTGTTCTTCTTCAATCTTTCTCCGAACCTCTTCGAACTGTGGTGAAATCATAAAAAGATTTACTCAACTATAAAAGTTTAGTAAATTCTAACCGGAATCAATGTAGTGCAATCATCAGAGGCGCTCGGCAAAATGCTAATATGCAGTCGATCGACTGATTCTATTCTGCGCCCTAGGCTTACAAAGGCTTTATCCCTATAAGACCCCAATTTTGTACCAGATCTCCCAAAAAGGATAAAAACACTTATGTGACAATAGATACAAGAGTGCAAGTCATTTTATAGAGGTCGGATATGCAATCAATCACTTCTCTGGTGCTATGAATGGAATGCAATGCATAGCGAATCCGTCAGGGATCGATCAACGTCGCAGGTATTCTGTTTCTTTAAAGTAACGAAAGGAACTGTGGGATGTCATTCCTCAGATGTTTGTTAGGATAAATTTCATTCAAAAGGAGGTCACGTACTTACCTCACCTCGATAATGTGTGATTACATCGCCATTTAATACATTTCTTGAAACATATTTTTTCGTTTTTATTTCCTCTTGAAAGTATTTTAAAAATGTTTACTGATAATTTAAGAGACTACTGCGGCAGAAATGATTTCCAGGACCTCAACAGCTTCCACACAACATCCAGTCCTTCCCAATTTCCATTTCGCTTTTGTAACCCATAGTTCCGTAGTTTTGTTTTCAATAATGAATGTGCAGGATTGCAAAAGTGGATTTAAGCCTCCTAAGCACTCTCCATTTACTACGAAAAAGTGCAGATAGTGTAGGATCCAACAAACCACAAATCATCCGAGACGAAAGATTAAATGTAACCTAACAAGATCTTTTTCTCTTTGTTTTAAGGAGAAATAATGCTTCACACAAAAGAGTAAACTGACCGCCATTGTTAATTTCTCATCATAGTAAACCATTACTTATAAACTGATTTAAAGACAGCTATCCTTTTTCCATGAATACATACGTAATCTCGGAAATGAAGCTTATCAAGAAAGAATACATATTGATTAGTCACACCGAGGTTTAGGGAAGGTCGGTTTCGAAATATTATTGATTTTGTCGGTTTTTCCAATACCTTTTTTCAACAACTACTTTTCAAGGTATGGATGAAAGGAAGAAAATTCTGTGAATTCCATTCCTGTGGATGGAAGAAAAGATCCAGTGCTGCCAGCTGCTACTAAACATTTTAGCACTGGATTTGGTCCTTACTCAATTAACAAGCGGACAAGCGGGAAATCATTGGTCCAAATTTTCATGGATATCAGACACTCTAAATTTGTAACATTTCGTGAATAAACGTATACTGTTAAAACTTCAAAAAACCAAAAAAATCAATAAGAGCGGCAAGAACGCAATCAGAGAGGATAAAAAGAAAGCTTTCAGTATGTACAGAAGAGAAAGGAAACAATAAACTACCTCTTTTCAGCCAATCAGAAAAAGTGAGGCTAAAAGCTCTTCTGATTTTTATTCCTGCCGCTTTCATTTAGTTTAATCAAAATGAAAACCATAAACCACACTGAAGAATAGCTTCATCTACGAAGAAATAGTTATAATTTCCGTTTCTATAATTACCTTAAAAAACTGCGGAAAAGAAAAAACGAAATTAAACTTAAAAAAAAACGAGTGGACCACATAGCGATAACCTTTTTGTTACTAGTGGTTGCCGGAAGAAACGTCCCACCGGAACAGTTAAGTATCGGCGAGAAGACGGAATTGAAATACACGCCTGAAATTTATTCATGGATGCTCCAATCGTGTAGGAAGAAAAACGTCCGTAAATAAAATCACATTCAAGAGAGTACAGTCAGATAAACGATAAGGACCCGAAATGAAAATGAATGGATGAACTGAACAGTCTGTTGTGTAAAACAGGGAACAAAAAATAGGCGGGATTTTTAAAACTTGAATTCTCAGCTGTTCACTACTGCCTCAATGACTCCAATTTGTTCCAAAAATTATTGGAAAGTTAACGCTTTAATCAAAGAGGTTCTTAGAGCACAAAATCAAGACGTACAAAAAAAAACAATAGGATTGAAAAGAATTGAATCAATCTCATGAATTAAAAAAAGACTTTTTTCCACACAAAAAACCACTATTGTATAGGCAAACATGTAGAGCGACTTTACTGTTGGGTTTCCAATCAGTTGTAGATATCGATTAATATCGCGCAGCGCGCTTTCCGTTTATAGCGCGTAACACCATCCAATCAGTAGCTTAGCAATATTCGATTCTACGACGGATTAGTTTAAATTGGATGAAATAACTGAAATATAAGAAAAACTCATTAAAACTGGTTTTCTTTTTCAATTAATGTTAAAGCAGAGGGGTCCTTCATACCGAAAAAATAGTCGTTCGGCGAGAGTGTCGATAAGATGTACATCATTGTGATTTTGATGAGATGCATTGTTGGTCCTTTGACACTGCCAGAACTGAGGAAAAGTCCTAATCAAGACGTTGACAATGCATTGTATACTATAATTTCTATTTTTGTAAACAGTGAAGGACTAAAATGGTACCGAAGAATAATGTTTGGAACAAAAGGAAAGAAACGACGCTTCTATTCCTTCTAAAAACATCAATGAAAATGACAAACAATAACATGTTGCCACTTAAAAGAATATCACCAAATTCGTTAAGTGCCGTGTCGCATAGCAACTATTCCACGAATAGCGCGCATAAAACACGGCTGAGAGAAAGGCGAAACGAAGGACCTGCATGGTGTGGTGGTGAACGCGTTACTCCACGGAAAGGGCAATAGCGCGCGTTCGTTCCCCACCGCAGACACCTGCGGTCCGAAGTTTTGCAAATAACTCAGCATTATAGTAGTTATATTTCGCAAACACCCTGCCGTTAAAAAGAATAGGCAGTAAATAAAAAGGTTAAGATTGTAAAAAAGAGCAGTTTGGGAAAATCTCTGTCATGATGAGAAAGTTCTGTGCCATTGGAAAATTGCTGTCCACGAAAGTGAAGGAATGGCTCATATCTGTCTGTATTAGTTAAATCAAACATTCAATAGTTACACGACGTGCGTAGATCAATAATATTGCTTACTAATCGATGAGAAATAGGATGTCCTTTGGAGCCGATTCGGTGTTCACAAACCACGGACGAAATTTCGGATCAAATAAATCGATAGTGATCGGCGAGGGCTCGACCCGCCAATAACGTCCTTCAAATGCGAGCAATTACAGTATACAACAAGATTTTCGTAGTGTTCTTTTTAAATGGAAATCCCTACTTGGGTACATGCGCGTTACACCACTGTAGGTGCCGATGAACTGATGCCGCATTGTTTCGTCAGCTCTGCAAAAGCAGCGAAATTGAACTCGAACAAATCTGCTTTTCAAGAATATGAATTAGAAAAAGGATAAAACTTTCGGCGTTTATCAATCCCCTGAGGGACGTGCCGTGCATTCGACTTCGCTACGCATCGTTTGGAGGTGACTGAATGCATATCTGGCCTTTACAACGACTCGTGGTGGCCTACCGATGTATCGAGCCAGTGGTGCTACTCTCCCAGACAACTCTGGTACCAATTTGCCGATCCCGGAGAGATGGAAGGCTTGGTGGGCTATGGGAGCGGGGATAGATCTCATGTGTGTGTTGCTGGGTGCCTCTGACCACTGCGCCACACTCGTCCTATTAATATAAGAATATGAATACCGATAGTTGTTTTGAATGTGCACAAACATATAAATATGTTTATACATATACATATATAAGAACATCTCACTGGCCTTTTGTTCTCAGCCATAACCTTTTCGATATTTTCCGTACCAGTCCAACTAAAGTCACGAACCACTTTTGGATCTGAAAACACAAGCAACTGAGACAACCCGCAAGCGAAGTCGGACGAGTTGTCCAAATTCGATAACGCTTCATGTTCATGATACTGTTCAACCTAATACGATCTAATGCGTTGAAGGAAATTATTGCTGTAGAGAATCGTGCTGGATGGCAATATTTTGGAAAAACTATTACCCACAGAAGAATTTCGTCAAACCTTTAACTAAACAATTCTTTTATATGAAAGAAGCTAAAGGAAATTCTGTAGGAGATGACAGCAACGAGAATTGCTTTTCAGCCCAATAATGAGGGTTTTAAGTTGTCACTGTAACAAAAACTTTTAAAACCTTTATTCATTGGGATTTTCTCTTTTTGTCTGGAAAACGTGAACATACCACATCGATAGGATTCGATACTGACGTGAACGCCTGATGTTCTCAATACAGAATTTGATGCGATTCTCACGTCCGAATCATTGAGTAACTTTTCAAAGTCGGCACAAACAGACTCGTCAAGTGGCATCGAGAACTGAAGTGAACAATCGATAATCGATTTTTCTCCTCCCATTTTTTAAGTGACGCTGAGCGAGTGTGATTGGTCAATTGGAGGCTGTGTTCTCACCGTCTGCGCTCTGGTCAAAACATTTCATATCGACGGATTGTAGACCATTTGAGATCGAACTCTTACCTTTTCATCATTATATGTGGCGTAGTATCGAGCAGAGCCCTCAGCGGTTCGCGTAAGCCTCTAAAAATTCTTTTACCACAATTTGGAAAAATATTCGACCTATGGTAAACAGAGTGATCGTCATCTGTGTGTAAATCATTAATACGAGCATATAAAAAAGGATAAAGCTCTCGGTATTGATCAATCCATATGCTGAGGGATGCGCCATGCATTCGACTTCTTTAAGCATCATTTGGAGATGAGTGAATGCGCATCTGGCCTTTACAATGCTGTGGCCCGACTCGTGGTTGCCTACCGATGTATCGAACCAGTGCTGCTATCCTCTCAGACAAGTCTGGTGCCAATTGGCGAGCCCGGAGGGATGGAAGGTTTGGTGGGCCATGGGAGCGGAGGGAGCGCTGAAATAAAACAATGGGTGCCACCAACTTGCATGGGAATGGGAAATCTAAGAAAATATAATCCTAAAAAAATATAAAACTCTCGACGTTGATCAATCCCTAAAGGATGCGCCATGCATTCGATTTCATTAAGCATCGTTTAGGGGTGATTGAATGCATATCTGGCCTTTACAATAACTCATGGTGGCCTACCGATGCATCGAGCCAGTGCACCTATCCTCGCAGACAAGTCTGCTATCAACTTGCCGATCCCGGAGGGATAGAAAGTTTGGTGGGCCATAGGCGCGGGATCGATTCCACGTGTGTATTGCAGGGTTCCTCCGACCACTGCGCCACAAGCGCCCACACGAGCATATAGATAAATGAAAAACCGGGTTGAAAAAGAGAGCGTAATTCGTCCTAGAAGGAAGCCGTTACCTTATCTGTCTATTCAATTTTTTTAAAAAATTGCCGTCAGGAAAAATTGTTTAAGGGAAACCTTTCTCCTTACGAGTAAGTGGAAAGTACGAAGAAGAATTATTCGGACGTTGATTCGGTGGAAATTATATAAATATTCGATGAAGTCATTCGTTAGTGCGAAGGAAGATGGTGAACAGAAACCGATTTGTAGTACTCGGACTCACTGAGGTATTTCAGAATGCGAGTTTTTTTAAATACTCCTTTTCGTTCTTTCATTTTGACTCTTTCACATTTTCTGCTTTCTATGCGTTTCGAACTTCAACAATGGAAATTGTTCGTTCGGTCGAATATTCGAGTACATTCGACCAGTCGTGGCCGTTCTGGACGCTTATTTTCCGCCTGCTTCCATTGTTCTACCGAATTTTCGGAAAAAATAGTGGTCTACCAGTTATTTTTTAAGTGAAAACTTCATTTTGCCGGAATTTATAGCATTCGAATTCATTAGGCATTATGCTAATAGAATGTTAATGGCTCAAGCTCGAAGCTATGAAATAGTTCCGATTACTCGACTAACCGAATATTCGAAACAACTTTATCGTTACCAGCTATATCCGAATATTCGACTGTTTTTCCAGCAAAAAGCAGAATCCAGTAGGATTTTTCGATCCCTCTGTCGGCCATTGTCAGCTCTTCCCTCGTAGGGGTGGAAGTTTCGAGCTGTGCCTTGCTATGTTCATTAAGGAATCGATAAGAATCTCTCATTTGCGAGCAGGACAGCCGAATATCTTCCTATATGGAATGAGTGACGCCTCTTGTTCTATACATCTCGAGCTCAAGCTTTGAACAGTTGGATGCACTTCTTAGCCGATGGATCGACGCGAATCCCTCACGTGATGATTGGATAACCTCCTTATCCATGTAAATGGTGGCCGACCCCTGCACACCACGAATATCCTGTCGTCCCACATTAGTAATATTTTGTTCCCTACATATCTCAGTGGCTCAATTTACGCTAGCTGGCTGCACTTCTCATTTGAGGAATCGATGCAAATCCCTCACTTGCCAAGTAGAACAGCCAGATACCCTAATAGCACCTCTGAGTAACGACTCATTCACAACTCGGTTGCACAAGACACATGAGACTGGACACTCTTTCTTGTTAAGGGATAGATGCCAATCCTTTACTTGCCCAGTGGAGCGGCCAGATGATCTGGACCGAATAAGTTAGGTCCTCAACACATCTTGATATCGTCAACCTGCATAAGTGACGAGTCCTACTCTACACATCTCGCTGGCGCAAGTTTCACTCAGCGGTGGGCCGTCCGCAGTTCTTATTTAAAGAGATCGATGCGAATCCGTCCCTCACTTGCCGAATAGAGCGTCAACTGACTGGATAAGCTCCTTATCCCGAGGGAGTGAAGAGGCACACAAAGAAAGAAATTGCCGCCTAACGAGACAAAAGCGTACTGCTACATCGGAGAGTACAGCTAGAACGGAAATTGTTTTACAAACGCCGTATTTCGCATTAACATAAAGTCTAGGAAGACATTTAGGAAAGAAAGACATTTATGAACAAAAAAACAGGGCTGACAACGAGTTAAAACCTCTATCTGCTTGAATCTAACAGATAAGTTTATGACTTGCGCTCTATTTCCAACCTGATATTAGTTTTATTGGAAGAATCGCCTTTGGTAGCTCCACAACTTCTACAGTTCTACGTGGTACTTTGATTTCTATACAGCTTTTTGATAGGCTTTTCTCTGTCTTCTCACCGTTGATATTTTTGTGTGAAGAACTTCTTTGCCAAATTTCACCATAACCCTTATTTTTGTAGTTTTTTGGTTTCACTTTTCAGAAGCGACTTGGTTCATTCCGCTTGTGATTCATGTGAGGACTAACACGCAGTGGAATGGGGCCCACTATACATGGGCAGAAATCGTGGTTCAGCTCCGCCCAAAGTGCAACTCAAGTAGTTTGAGCTTGTTTGAAACTGATTCATCAAAGACACTAAATAAGTCTAAGGTGCACAATACAGCGGATTTCTTCATCGGCTAGTCTCTAAGGGGCAATTTCACTAACGAAGCATCCAAATCCAAAGTTTCCACAAAGGCAGAAAAAATTAGGAAAAAGTACATTTCTTATTTCATTGCCCACATGAACCCTTCCAAAGCTATAGTTTCTTCCAGAAAGTTGGAAGGATGAGAAATTTGTTTGAAAGATAGGTCTGAATTGAGAAACATCATCTCATGAGATTTGCTTGCGGAGAAAATTCTTTAGAAAAAAAGCATCTTGTTTTAGTGGAAAAATGGCTCTAATAAAACTTGGCATAGAGATTTAAGTTGATTTTTTTATTTGAAACAAAAATCTACTCCTGTTTTCTTTGTCGCCCTAATAAAAGCAGAAACTAACAGCTTACGATCACTACGTTCAAAGAAAAAAGTGCAACGTGCTCTGTAATGAACTTAAAAAACATGTACTGAAAAAAACTTTGTACGAGTTTTTAAATTATAAAAACTAGTAAAAAAGTCGAAAAATCTATGAATGGGCTCTATTTTTTAATGTCGATAGAAGGTATGGACTAGGTAGAGCTCACCTGTAGCGCTTTGGTACGGTCGGCAAACAACTGTTCCAGCCGGGTCTTAGCCAAATCGAGTGCAGATCGAGGATTTTCAAATCGCACATGTAGTTTTGATTTGAGTTCTTCGAATGGCTAAAATTCGCAGGTCTGTCAAAAGGTTGCTGAAGACAGTTAGAAATGTTAAGAAGATATAGGTAAAGGCAAGAAAACAAGAAAAATATCACCTGCATTTATTATATGCGAACAAAGCTAATTGTCAGATGTTTGTTTTTTGGAAAGATTTACAGTAAATGTCTAATATCATTATCCTGATTTTAATTTTTTTTTCTACTTTATTTGACCCGTTTTCACGTCTACTGTACGAATCCCAGCACTTCTCACATTCAATTCGTTTCGTCGCGTCCATCATCCACACGAAGATCTTCCAACTTTACGCGTTGATTCGGTTGCTACTCAAGGATTTTCACTTCGTCTTGAATGTCATAGAATGCTGGTCGAGCAGTTCTCTCTGTAGTCCGGAGATAGCGAGGCTGAACCGTTCTCAATTGGATTGGAGAGAGTGCTTTTTCCCCAGATAAGTCCGGTACCAATTTCCGAACTCCGGAGAGATGAGAAGCTTGGTTGCCCGCAGGGGAATCGAACTAGCACCATACTCGTGATGACAGACATCACTACAACTGTGCTATCCTTATTATGTAGTAATAGTGGTAATGTAACAAACATTATGCTGACTAGTTAACTACATTTGAAGTAAGCATATTGCCTTAGTTCTCTTTAGCAAATCTCTACTGTAACCTGTAAATACTGCAAAGATGTACGAAATCTATTACTCTTTTAAGCATAAGTTAATGCACCCAAAAGAAAAGAGCATCAAGGATACCCACGAATATCAAAAAGGAAACAATG